TATTAATTCCAATAGTTACTCCACTATAAACTTGGAATTGAACTCTCGAAATTACAGACATTGATTACTTCTAAATTGCGAAGTGTCTATTTGATATAGTCATTACATATAGATCAATCCTCCATAAATAATTCATAATTAGAGTCAGGTAGAATCCGTTAACCTCTCTAGTTACATCTTTATCCTTGAGTACCATTGATTTTCTAATGGATAGTGATTCATAAAACACATTCATGAACCAGAGCGCTCTTACTAATCCAAGTACCGAATCAACACTCAAGAGAATTATTTATCTACTTCTTTCTTAAGAAGGAATGGATTCTATCTCGTATAATAACATTCTCAGCTACCTATTTCATTATGTCTCCAAAATACAAGGAATAGGATTCAAGGTCTCGAAATCCGTACCGAGTAAATCAAAAGACATAAATCCATAAATAGGAGTTTGTTAAGAACTCAAGATTAAGATCATCCTATATATGACCATCGGTAGACTCAATTAGAATTTCTATGTTTAACGGAAATTATTAGAAATTTATATTGTGTCTGTGTCCTTGTTCCACATAATCTTATTATGCGAAATACACTCATTCAATATCTCGTCATATTAACAGTGCGGATAATACCGTTCCATTCTAAATGGGAATGACATGTATTAATAATGTTTTAATTAAAGATTTTGAACTTTAATTAAATTCATCATGAACAATGTTTTTGATTATTATCCTTAAATACTATCATCTCGTATATAACACTTATATACTATGTTTAAGGTTACATAAACAATCACGAAATTTTCATTTGATATTCATAAAATATTCATAAATATATGCACATAAAATGATGAATAAACTCTTTTATTAATTAAATAATAAATATCCTATTACATCTCATGCTTCTAGGACACTATTCCCAACAATCTCCCACTTATCCTAAAATTAATTTATTCTTTTTTTTTTCATTTTGATCCTTTTAACCCCTTTTTCTTCTTTATTCTCCCCCATAAATCTTATTTCTTTTCCATTTTGGTTCTTCTTATCCTAAAACTTTTTTATCTTTCATTTTGATCCTTTTTTGATCTCTTTTCTTTTATTTTTGCCCATAAACTTATTTGTTTCTTCATTTTAGTCAGCTTCTTTGACTCCTTTTTTATATTATTGTTCTGAGATTCTTTTTTAGTTCCCTTTGTCCTTGAACTTATTTGTTTTATCTTTTTGATCATTTTTTATCTTTTTTTTACTTCTTCCCTAAAACTTTTCTTTTTATTTTTTATCTTAAAACTTATTTATTTCTTCATTTTGGTCATTTTTTTTCCTATTTTCTTAATTTTTACACAGAGGTTTTATTCTTTATTTTGGTCACGTTTGCCATAAATCTTATTTATTTCTTCATTTTAGTTCTTTTTTTACCCTTATGTTTTGTTGGTTTTGAAACGTTTTCAAAGTGTGGAAGCGTGGTAGTGCGGATCGTGTATAACAAAAAAAATTCATAAAAACCTTTTGAATACATTATAGATTATATTAATTTATGCAATAATAAATTAATCTCATTAATTTATGATAATAGATATCTTGCTAACGATTAGGCAGATAACTTGATTTTTTTGGCCAACGAACAATCCTCATTCCAAAGCTTTCTTAGAATACCCTAAGCCTTCCTCGTCTACTCTTGAAATTCGCAAGACGATGATTGTGGGCTCAAAGTAAAACTATCGGAAAGGATCACTCACTAATTTAGTATTCTTTCACTCTCAATGCATGTATGAGAAAGAATTGAGAAAATTGAAAGAACTTTTCTTCTTTTTTTTTTCTCTAAATTTTCGGTTCTTCTTTTTTTTTTCTCTAAATTTTTTTTGTCACCTTAGCGAATTAGGAGATGAAAAATCAATCTTCTCCGATTCCTATTGTCTCCTATTTATAGAATACTAGGAGAACCCTTTTGTTTGTAGACAAAGTTATAGGAAATTGGTAACTACTATATTTTTAATTTAACTAAAAATACAGTTTCCTTTTTTATTTTTTTTGGAAACAAGCTTTTCTTTCCCTTTTAATTTTGGAAACAAACTTTCCTTCCCTTTTGCTTACAAGGGCCGGCCAACACTAAGGGATGAGAGAGAAAATTATTAATTTCTCCAGTTTCTAATTTTAACTTAAATTCAATTCCAAATAAAGTAACATTTTACTTTCCTTTTTGAATTTAATTAGAAAACTTGTCAAATAAGTAAACTCGATTTCTTGGAGAGCAAGCAACTAAATCCCAGCGGAATTTTTCCCAGTGTCATACGCCCCCTGTAGTCCCACCACAGTGTGTGACAAAATAATTAAATAATCACATTATTTAATATATAATTAATTCTCAATTAATTATTCGCGAGTAAAATAAAATCCCGATAATTCATCTTGTCTTGCAAATAATACAAGGATGATGGGGGACTCATGGACCTATAATTCTAAGCTCCAATAAAATTAATAATTAATTAAACTCTTTAATTAATTAATTAATTCTATTAATTCCAAAAGTTACTCCACTAAAAACTTGAAATTGTACTCTCGAAATTATAGACATAATTTACTTTTAAGAACTTGAAGTGTCCATTTGATATAGTCATTACATGTAGATCGATCCTACATAAATAATTCATAATTAGAGCTAGGTACAATTCATTAACCTCTCTAATTATACTTTTATCTTTTAGAGCCTCTTAAGAACTCCGAATAAACCCTCAAGAGAATTATTTATCTACTTCTTTCTTAAGAAGGAATGGATTCCATCTCGTGTAATAACATTCCCGGCTACCTACTTCATCATGTCTCCAAAATACAAGGAATAGGATTCAGGATCTCAGAATCCGTACCGAGTAAATCAAAAGACACAAATCCATAAATAGGAGTCTCTTAAGAACTCAAGATTAAGACCATCATATATATGACCATCGGTAGACTCAATTAGAATTTCTATACTTAAAAGGAAATTATTAGAAATTCATATTGTGTCTTTGTCCTTATTCCACATAATCTCATTATGTGAAATACACTCATTCAATATCTCACTATATTAACAGTGCGGATAACATCGTTCTATTCTAAATGTGAATGACATGTATTAATAATGTTTTAATTAAAGATTCTGAACTTTAATTAAATTCATTATGAACATTGCTTTTTGATTATTATCCTTAAACATTATCCTCTCGTATATAACACTTATATACAATGTTTAAGGTCACATAAATAATCATGAAATTTTTATTGATATTCATAAAATATTCATAAATATATGCACATAAAATAATGAATAAACTCTTTTATTAAATAAATAATAAATATCCTATTACATCTTATGCTTCTAGAACACCATTCCTAACAATAATCATATCAGAAAAAGAGGTTTCTAGTGAGAGAGAATTCCAGAGAGAGAGAGAGAGCGGGGAAGAAGGAGAATAATTCGGCCAGCTACCGGAAGCGCGTCTCCGGTGAGCCGGCCCCCAAAATATATCCACGTGTTCTACGTCGGCTGATCTACACGATAATGGAGTCTGTGTTGGTATTTTCTTTTCTTTTTATAGTTGTTTGTTGAATAAAGGCAGTCATTCTATCAGTGTTGGTGTTTGTTTTCCCCCCAAATGGCTTGATATGTGTGGGTTTTGGTTGTTTTTATTGTTTTTGATTGTGTTCCCTCACCAAGCTATAACATTGTGTGGGTTTTGTGTCGTTTTTTATTTTTTATATGTCTTTAGTCAGATATCTTGCTTCGGCGAGCTTAATCTAAAAGAATACTGACTTTCAGAGATTGGTCTTTGCAAAGAGTTTGCTACAACCCTTTCAAAAGAACCAACATTGGAGGGAGAATTAAAAGAGTCAAGAGAAATGCTCCAAATTGTGTCCATTATCGGACTTTGGATCCATGTATTACGACGCTAACGGAACTATCGATTTGATTTGTTATATCAAGTTTTCTATATTAAGTTATCTGTAATCTTCATGATTTGTTGATTAATGAAATGGTTTTAGCATTCAAAAAAAAAAATTAATACTCAGCTTACTCTCCACGTGCATCGCATGTGAAATTGAACTAGTTTAATTAAAATAAAGATAATCTTGATAAATACCATTTAAAAGTACATGAGTCGGGATTTTTACCGTTTACTCTTGATTCATAACCTTTTTAGTCAAATAATTATACTAACAAAAGGATATTTATTAAGAATAAGAGATAAAAGTTTAGACTCGTGCACTCTTAAGACTAAATTCTCTGTATACTAGTTGTCAGCATTAAGTTGGAAGGATATGGGTGCGTTTGGAACTCGTTCCAAAATGATTTTATTTTTTTGTATGAAAATGGAAATGAAAATGCTTTCAATCTCAGAGAGAAATTTTTAAATATTTGGTAATTTTATCAAGAAATTATTTTCAGTATAAAAAATGAAAAACGATTAAAAATTAATTTTTATTTTTCTTACATTTTACACTAAACTAAAAAATTATTTTTATTTTTATTTTTAATTTTTAATTATACCAAACATCATTTTTATTCCATTTTTATTTTTCTTTTAAAAACATGAAAAACAAAAATAAAACCAACTCTAAATACGGCCTATATTTCCGCATTATCGAGAAAAGAAACCAATGAGCAACTAATAAGTTAGCTCCTAAATGCAAAGAACGACACACCAAATTGATAAAAAGAAAAGGAAAAAAAAAATGTCGACAAAATCACATGATGAATCTTACCTTTTCGGCCACGGCGTTGTTCTTCTGGGGAAAAGGGGCGGCGGCTTTTTGTTTGTGAGGAAGAAGTAAGGGAAGAATAAAGATGGGAGGAAGAAGGATTAGAGACGCGAGGCAGGCTCATGTTGGATTCTGATGATTGCCCACCAACTGAATTTCAAGTTTCTTCTACGCGGAGTACCAAAGCAACGGTACGTCAAGCAGAAAAACTTACA